TTTAACTATACCTTATGCAAAATGCGTCCTAATTGAAAAATAAAATATTTGTTTCAAAATAAAATATATGACAATATTTAAATATAATATATCCTAGACTGACAAATCATCTCCGTTCAGAATCGTTTTTCGTACACAATGAAAATGATACCTATCATTGCATTCAAATCTAACCTACCCTAGTCAGAGGTCCACCCCACCACCTAATGTACAGCAGAGGTCACTTACCCGCTTTTTTTTTAAATTCGTTTTTTAGGTAAGTACGAGTGAACTAGAACTATTTAAAATTATAATTTTTTTAAATCTCATTGGAACCTATATTTAATATAGGTACTTATTATAATATTTAATAATAATATTATAATGTTTTATCCATTCAATTTGATTGTGCAGCGGCTGCACTGCAGCAGCGTCTGCAGCCAATAGCCAATAAGCATAGGATTGATGAAACTCTATTTAAATTTTAATTTAAAGKKCTTAAAGAAAAACAATTCAAAATGAAGAATAAAATAAAATTGATCGTCCTATATTTTATTATTTATAATTTATAAATAATTTATTATTTTGTTCAGCCAAGTCTTACCTATATTTTGAAATCTACCAGATATTATTTTTTTAATTGTATTCTCTACTGAATTGTAAAAAATAAATCCCTTGAAATAAGAATAATAATATTATAAATTACATGTCTATGGATACAGCACTGCGCAGCTGCAGTACTTTCATTATTGATATAAAATTAAACTCTGTTAGCGCTGTTGCTCATTAGTCATTGAATATTATACAATTACTTGGCGTTGAACTAAAATATTATCCAAAGATTCAAAAGTGAAATTCACTAATTCAGTAGGTTTTATTCAGTAGGTATGCGAGGCTACGATTTTACCCCTTCCACAAATAACCACGCGAACAACCGAGGGCCACTGCCCAGTGCCCACTACACTCTGTTGAGTTTATGTCATTATTATGTCATTGCTCAATAATTTTTATGTATTTTTTAACCACCACTTAAATGTTACAATTACTGTGGTTTCTGGGCCCGTGCTAGAATGACGTAATATTTATCTGACAACATTACTTATTTCATTTACACGTTGATCACCATTTTGTAATTTATTATTTTGATTTATTGATGTTATATGTTATACATTTGAGAAATGTAAGTACACATAATATTTTTTTTTCAAACCACTGTGATCAATAATAATATTATATTATTAATATAAATACATATATGTATATGCAGTTTTGTTAATGTTTTAAATTTTATCAATACTGCGAGGGACACGGATTATCAAAATTTAAATGTTTAAAACTTTGCTTATTGTCTCGTTTTGAATATTAGAATATTAAATGATAGATTAAATAAAATGTGAATTATGTACTTGTTGTCCTTATTGTGTTATCAAGTTTGTTCGAGTAGAAATTCAGTTCGATAAAAATTCAAAATGTAATAAACACTTCAACAAATATTTATATCACGGTAACACGGTTTATCTAGTTTTTATTGATTGATAGATATTTTGTGTTTTAAGTACCAATTGCAGTTCTCTTCTAAATACATTTAGAACTTCAAAATTCACCTAATGATAAAAAATATGTAGAATATYAGGCTGTATCACTTCTGTTCTCGTGACCAATCTATTTGTCTAAAATTTTGTTTTCCGTACCTATAGCTATAGAATATAAAACTTTAATAATTTAAYCATGAATGTTTTATACGAGTTCCGAAAAATAATTGAAACAAGTGGAACAATTATATTATAATGGTAGGTAAACTCAAATTTGTTTTAAAATCATCAGTAACCTGCAGTAAGTATATAATTTAATAGAATAAGGTACATTTTGAAAAAAAAAACTAGTTAACTTATGTTATCAAATTTTAATGCTACCTATCCTAATAAAAGGGTCTACAAAAATGTTGGTGATATTATACTATTTATATTACACAATATAAGAAGGTTGCAATATAAAAAAGATCGAGAACTGGTGTTTTAAGAAACGGTGAGATCTACATGTGGAACAGGGTTGGATGATGATTAAAAATAGTGAAACTCATTAATTATTAGTAACCGCGAAATCCAGAGCATATCTATAGCAGTTACAAAAATTTTAAAGGTGAAATACATATGTGATGATATTATAATGTGAAATAGTTCACTAGGAAGTAGGAATATTTAAGTATATAATATATGAATGATAAATAATTATAGGTAATAAAAGTAATGTGTGAGGTAATCACATACCATAAGCTGTGCCGATAGTCATAATAAAAATTGGAATAARCAAAAAGATAAAAATATTTTGCTGGTGAGCGGACACAGAAAAATTATAAAGATTGCGTGCAAAGATATTTAAAATATTATATGATAGTTATTAGTTAAATAATAATTAACATTTCCTAAAAATGGCATAACTTAGCTTTCAATGTATACACTATACAATAAACATGTGTTACAAAATTATTATATAATATATACCTAATGTAATATCTATTAAAAATTAAAATACACCTATATGCAAGGCTGGGCATTAACGAGTTAAAAAGTTAAAGTTAAGTTATTTAACGAGTTACTTTTATTTTCAAAAGTAACATCCAGCTTAACGAGTTTCTTTTTTTTTTTAAACAACTTCTAACTTAACGAGTTAATTTATTAATTTGTCCTAATATAAATTTCATATATTTAAAATTATATTTTGATTTTTATAACTTATTGGTATTATCATTGATT